GCGGCGATTCACGAACTGGATTCAAGCGAGAACGGAATGACCACGGTGAGGACATTGGAGCTTCAAGCCAGGATGAAGGAAATGGAACAAGACTACGAGCATACGGTGGAACACTACAAGAACGAACTATCCAGCCTTAAAGCACGTCTGGCGGTGGCAGATCAGAAGTTGAAGCAGTTTGAACAGACCACCGACAGAACCCGGACGATGGATTTAACCATTTCACCCGTCGTGAAAAGCGAACCATTGTCTTCAGGCATCGATGAAAGCGTCAAAGTGGAAGAAAACGGGACCACGGGGGTAGGACGTCGAAGGCAACCAAAGAGAGCTCGACGGGGGCGAAAGCTGGAGCCCAAAAATGCTGACTTGCGGGTAGTATGCCATTGAACGGCGTGGGAGATGGAGGGAAGGTAAAATTAAAAGACCCGATTCGTTTATCCTCTTTTGTTAGTAGAACGCACCGTCTGAGTTTTCCTTTCCGCATTCAGAACCAGCACAATTTCGTAGTCTCTAGCAGAAAGATTCCTGAAATCGATTTCTTCTGACAGCCTGTGGGAGAGTCACAAGCGCTGTACGGGTGGCGGACTACCATCATTCTGGCCATGGAAGGCAGTCTCTTTCCTGCACCCTATTTTGCGCATGTCAAGAATAGAACAATCTTTCTGTCAGTCGTCGAGAGGGGGTTTGTTCTGGTCCCCTTGCTTTCCAATCCATCTCCAATCCCCAACGCTTAGCGTGGTTGATGGTCATTTAAAAAAAGAACAGGAAGGAAAGTATCACCGCCCGATTCCTGGCCCTGGCAGAGTATATCTGCAGAGACAGTCATTGAAAGCCACCATTGTCTCCAAAAGTCGAGTCCACAAAAGCGTGTCTCAACCTACATGCCATCATGAACATGTCGCGTCCACGCAAAGTTCACAGCCGTTCCCCACCAACTCAACCCCCGGCGCTGAGTCCGATGGACGCGTTGATCGACCACAACCAAGGCTCATCCGTAGCTCTCGAAGCATCTAGGTCTCGATTGGAGGCCTCCAAACGCGCCACACGTCCTACTCCATTGCAGAGAATTGAGCAACTCACCGGGGAGAAGACAGCACTACAAAAAGAGCTCGCGAAAAGTCAGAGACAGGAGAGCGCCAATCGGGCCTTTAAAGAAGAGATGAGGCAGGTTTTAGACCGACTTCAGCAGGCAGTATTCGAGTGGAGAAGAGCCGAGAAGGAGATTGGTGACGATTTCGACACAATTTTGAAGCAAGGCGCGGACACAGCTAGTATTAAGGTTGGCTTCCAGAGCCGTGACAATTGACCTCGGATGGTGGATGGCACTGGCCACGAAGATAAAATCTGCTAGCATAAAATGCCTCTCCCGTATCTCGACAACATTACCCGGTGTGAAGCCATTATTGGCAATTGTTATGTCCTGTACTACTATAGATACTTAAGATCTCAAGCCGGTCTAAGATCTGTAGGAATCACACAGTATACGACCTTGTAGTTCTAGGCCTAATCGTGGACTTGCGGTCTTCGAATTCTTCAACTAAAAACTTGAGACTTCGGCCACGATATCGACGAGGATGAATCCAGCTCTAGAGATTAGGATTCTGGTCCTAAAATCTTCAACCTTGAGGGAAGCTCGTCGCTAACACACCCTGAGTTACTATCCTTATCACTCCTTTGGGTCTTTTGGGTACGAGATCTGTCTTTATAGGATTCAGCGAAGCGTGATTATAAGGACGAGACATTCATGAAGCGAGACGACTTGCCCATGCATCCTTGATATTAGGTCGCATCCGGTTCTGAGGCGGCGTACAAGTTAAAACTGTATGGCGTCTCACAGAACTAGGGACAAATGTATCGAGGAGGTACAAATCTTACTCTTACAGTTCAAGTAATGGCTTCTCGACCAAGGCAAACTTCCCATTCATTCTAGGAGACTTGAAGCACGAGGTTACAGCGCCTTTGATACACAGACACTATTCGTGTTCCCCAGCAACACAGTTCAACTCATAGACCGTGAGTCCGCGTGGATGCTTTTCCTCTATTCACAGTTCCGCACAAAAGAGCTTGCGGAGTAGGTGTCTCAAGACAACGTGGTCGTCTTCTCGGTTGAACGTGTTACGAGAGACCTTTGTATAGACTCTCAACTCTGCCAGACTGCGAAACATTGAGCTAGTTGCTCGTGGCTAACGTCGCTGGCGGCATTTGATCAAGCAGCAATCATCAACATCGGCAAAGCAACAAAGGGTCAAGTTGAAGCTTGGCGCAGGAGCTGAAGCGAGCGAAATAGCCAACTCTTACCAGAACGTATGTGAGGGCGATTCATTCCTTCCAAAGCTGGTTGGCAGAGGATTTCTTGTAAGCACAACGTAAATCTACGCAACCTTCAAGTAGGTTTTCACTCATCTCAATTGATTCTCACGCCAGTCTCCATGCTCAGGTAAAGTGATAAAGGCTCGCAGAAGGGAGTAAACCTTGATATGGTTGTTCATCGCCTCTCAGAGAAGAGTTTCGCCATCATTGAGGTGATGGCTGGCGATGGAAAATGTTCTTGAGACATACGGGAGTGCTATCTAGGTCGGCTATAGTGTCAGAGTCTCCCCTTCATGTAGGGTCTTCAGGATAGCGCCTTGGAGGTTGGAGACTTTGTTTCCTGTGCCTGGACTCTCTGCGTGCGAGTCGATTCTGCATCTTTTCGCCAGGAACCAGCTTAAAATCCCTGAGGATATCTTTTCTCCATCGTGCGTATCGATCCAGTACCTGGATTTTGTACCTAAGAGGAGCTTTTCTCCCTCTTCGCGTCCATAAGTTGCCGCCAGGCCCATTATCTTTGCCTCAGTCCAAGGGTAAATGAGCGCGACGAGCTCTACTTTGGGTTCCGCCGCTCCAAGCCAGGTCGCTGCGGAAGCCTTTATACCATGCGGAGCATAGATCAGTGCTTCTACTCCTAGAGAACTGGCGCTTTTGGTGAAGTATAACGCTATTCCTCCATAGAGTGAGTCGAAATGCTCTCCTTGGGACAGGTGTTTCATGCCAAGCCACCCCGGCAATGGATGTAAGTTGGCCGTTCGCCAATCAAACTTAGCTTGATTTCCCTGTGGAAGGCTCACGACCGTACGGAAGTGTTTCCAGGATGATATTTCCCTTGCTGCCGAAGGGCTGGCAAAGATGGGGACCGCGGCTGAGACTTGCTTGAGGGTCTCCTTATGGCAATGGTCCGTGGTGTCATGAGAAACGATAACAGCATCTATGTACGATGTTGGGACAGAGATCGTAGCCGGGTGTCGCTTCTGCCCGATGGTGTGTTGCAAAAATTCTTCCAGGTCTGCGATGCTCGAGATACGACTTTCGTGTACGTGCCATTGGACCAGAAACCACTCTGAAATGATCACTTGCTTAGTATGAAACCATGGATCGACGAGAAAGTTGAAAAACGACGGACCACCTGAGACACCATCGTCATCAGGATGCGGAATAGACACGAGCCAACTGGTATCGTCATTGAGACGAGTGATAGTTGGTCTTTTGCTGCTGAAGGCGGTCTTTAGGAATTCCGGTGCCATCATGCGCGATACATCACCTTTGAGATTGTGCGGCGAAGAGCCTTCATATTTATCTCCCACCAGACGCATATCTCGGCCTGTGTGGATTTCTCCTCTATCACATTGGGGAATCTGACAAATTCTGACCCGATGACGAACCCCAGCTGCTCAGCCGACAGCGCCACCTGTTTCGTGCCGTTTGGGAACCAGGGCGACGCCAAGATCAGCAGTGGGCGCTCTTTGCGCTGGATACTCTCCTGTTTTCAGGCTTCCACTATTTTAGCTTTCGGACCGGTCCCCTCCCATTTTGGCTCGAGCATCATTGACGTGGAATATTCGAAGTTTCACGGCCTGGCCCAGAACTCAACAACTATTTGTTACCTCTATCACGGTCTGGGAGGACGAGGGCGTCCAGCCCTAATACTGTAGGAGAGTCATCACAGAGGCTTGCCAGCCAAGCAGCCCTTTTTCCTGGTTCAAATGCCTCTTCATCGCCCCATACCTCTGAAAAACCTGTCTATGGCCATGTAACCTGTCAGAAACAACACCTGGTAAAACAACCACGGCTGAAACGGCGTTCGTGCTGGGGACTAGAGGTCCCGGACGCGAATCAGAACTTTGATAACGGCCGATGCTAAATCTGCAATCCAGGCCTGGAATCCTCCGCTCCGTGGGGCTCCATCTGGCGTTGTTACGGAGCACTGGTGTGAGACAGATGTCCTCATACCATTAAATTTGAGTACGAAACCTAATCTATACGATCTATTCTGTCCGGCACTGGCTAACGCGAGGCGAAAGTACAAACTTCAGGATGATAAAGATCAGTGCTGTATGTCTTGTGTGGATATCAAAAATTATACATTCTTCGATCCAGACCTGGACTTTCGCTCGCTCTTCAGCATCCGTGGGACGTGGCTGTGCCAAACTCCCGTCTTCGCACATTATTTAATCTGTACCCTTGCTAAGAGTAAGCTGGATCCATTTCTCCGAACGCAGATGCAACAGCATTCAGTGGTCTGTACTATTTTTGGTCAATGTGACGAATAGGTGACTCACTATTCAGATATAGACAACAAGGTACGCATCGTTTGAGGCTGTAGCTTTATTAATAGAAGCTTCAACATGAGTTTATCCTGAGGCTATGAAAGGCTTATGTAGTTTGATAGATTACCTGTCATCGATCGATATATAAAGTCTAATGAACTCACCTGTAGGAATCTTCATTTCCACAACTATTAACGCATAATCCAACCATCAGACAGTCAGAAGCAACGAACAGTATCCTTGGTTTCACTTCGACAATGCACGCAAAGTTTCTGCTTTTCTTGGCTGTGAGTGCTGGGCTCGGTACTGCAGCACCTCAACCTCAAGGCTTCTTCCCCGTCATCGAATTCGTTCCAGACCCGAACTCTTTTCAATCAGGACAAGCGGCACGAACATGTACTATCGATCCACCAAATGTAGCGCGAGACAATGTATGTCTTGACACAAGGGATAACAGTACCTCCATCTGTTGCCCAGCAGGTAGTGCTTGTGCACCCAGCGTGGTAAGTCCCTTCGAAAGGTAATGATGCCTGTCGCTGATTTCTCCGGTCCAGGACGATCTGCTCCGAGTTAGATTCTTCTGCTTCTAGGATGCTCGAAAATCCTTAACACGTTTTGGACAAAGTAAGAAAAAAGAAAGTGGTAAAGATGCATAGTATGATCAAGCTCAAAGTTTCGACATCGCAATGCCGGGCTACATAAATACCTACAGTCATTTAGTTTTGATACCGTGTAACAATGTTATACACAACAGTTTCTACCCCGTCTATAATCACCACCTTTAAGAACTGCGCACGGTCTATGGCAAAGACGCCGACTCGCACCACGCGTCTATCAAATAAGATGTTAGGCTCGGGCAGAGTCAATCACAAGTAGATTTGGAGCAGTACGCAAAACTCATTTTTGTTTTCACGTGCTTCAAGTGAGTTCATAGCATTAGAAATCCTTTTGAAAGTGGCTAGACCAATGGATGCTGAGGTACGGTCGAGCGAACACTTTTCCTAAACTGCTGGCAGACTTATCAACAACCATAGACTGAGGAGCCACATCCACCGGATTGGAAGCAATGACTTTTCCTATCCTAGCCTGTTGCCCAAAAATAAAGGTCGCTAAAAGACTTCGCCCCAACCCATCTGTCTGTATTTCCGTCTGCCACTTGTGCGGAAATCTGGACAAAGGTGGGTAATTGCTTCTGTGAATGACCGTCGCTCGCTCTACCTTGCGTTGAATTCGCCATCAATCAGATGCTAGCCATGTTCGACGTGATATGGAGGGGTCTAATACCTAGGCTATTTTAAAAGGCGACGCAATGTCCCGAGGGCCCGTAGGGAATAGCCTATCAGAAATCTCCTGCTCACGTGCCATATCGGCATCTACTGGTGAATGACACGCTGCGGAACTGCCGGTTGCTGCTCCACGGAACCACCCGCCAGATTTCGCTGCCGAGCATGCAGCTAGAATTCTCTAGCCATGCTCGCAAAAGGGCCGAGAGACTAAGTAGGGCCTTCTAGCTGTGTGGTCGGCGATGAGAATTGAGATGTGGCAGTACATGATATCGACGCCAGCCATGCGATCATTGGTTGACTACTGCCCGTAGCGAGACGTTGAAGTTCCGGGAGATCAACACGGAATTGGCGGCTGGCATGCACATGCTCATCTTAGCATTCTCGTAGGCGCTTAAACCTGCAAACATATCGATCTCGAAAGCTGGTTGGTTAGCGAGTCCAAGGCCGCCCACAGATAGCCCGGTTTCTTTCACTCCCACATCCTAGAAGTCCAAAACGGCACCTATCGCTAAATTTATCTATCCTTTCTGCAGCCAACGACAAACTACTTAGACTTCAAAAATTTCACGTCTAGTGAAGATATCACTTCCAACTCGCCCCCTGCGACAATGCAGTTCACCTGGGCAATGCATCAGCTACTATCATAGCGTAATATCTCTTTCAGTGGTATGATCTCAAATCTTACGCAGCGCTAGATTAGTGTCACTACATCGACACCACTTTAGAAACTACCTACCCACCAGAAGTGGGTCCACAGTCCAGTCCAGGTTCTCAATTTCGACTAATCAGCGCCATGAGCTTTCTTCTGTAGAACAAACTCTCCTCGCGGTCTTATGAGACTAATTCACCATAACGACTTACAATTGGCATAAGGCCCACCATCTGCAAGCAATATTAATGGGGCGGACGGTCCCTGTTCAATCACGAGAGAGCGCGGACACTCGACAAGGACGTAATAGGCGCCGGTCCTGGTATCAGGCTGGTTGCCGATGAGTTGTCCTGATCTTCACACAGTCAATGTGCGAAGGCAGTGAACATCGATATATAGTTGGTGGACAATTTGTAAAGGACAGCCGCGTTCACTTTGTTGAGAAAGAGATCATTTGTCGATCGCTGCTTGATCCAAACCTAGGCGTCCAATGGCTGTTGATCTGTCCGCTCCCAAGGAAGACCATCCTTGGACTCCTCACGAAATTGCTCAAGGTTTCAAGCTCACTCGTCTTGATCACGTCCCAACGTGGCGCCAGATGCTCCAAGCATTGGCCTCTGAGTCATATTATACAGAAGAAGTACACAAACTTGGTTGCATGTTCAGAACCGAAACAAGACCATCTGCGAGACCTAGGTCGATGCCTTCCTTCTCCGGAGCAACAGCTACAATTGATCACCAAAATTTGATTCCTGCCCTGATCTCAGCACTCAAGGACCATGAAACTAACAACAGGTCGGGTCCAAACTATGTTGTGTGCAACCTTGACGACGTTTGTTTACCTTCGGCTGTACGAGCTCTGAACCCTGCTTCACCAGCGCACCGAAAAGCGATCTTTTGCATCACGGAAACATTCATGTGTTTACGCAAGACAATATTGGATTTACAGTCTATCAACATCCTATGGGTTGGACACTCAGTTGTTTGGCTTGTTGTTGCATCCAGACATACAAGCAAGCTGGAAGCGAGAATTGCACATGAATTGCAAGCATCACCCATATGCAGCCAATTTACAAGGCATGCAAGTTTACTTGTGTCCCCGGAGTCATTAACACTCTGGGGAATACCGTTTAGCATATTTGCACAATTTCCTGGAGATGTTGTCAAAACAGACCATGGCGTTTATTTCCAGAAATGGAGTACTGGACCGAATCTTCAGGAAAGCGTGAGCAGCTGCGAAGCAGATTGGCTGCCGCCTCCTCTGCTCCCGACTTATTGTAGCTCATGCGCCTCTGAAGTTGAATCTAAGAGAAATCCTGAGATCAGGGAACGTTGTCATACAGACATGGTGTTATCAATTGAGGGCAGCAACCAACCTGTGCCGGGGGTCTTCGGCTTTCCGGGTACAGATGAATTGCTTGACCACTGTGCGTACGTCGAAAGCGAACGCGCCGACTTGGCTCAGACAAACACCTTGGAGATGCCAGGTAGCTTGAGCGACGGTACACAATCGTCCGTGCTTGATCAGCAAACAGGCCAAGATCTTGTGGACGCCGCACTCAATATTCCCGAGAATGTCTTCGCTTTCTATGACGAAATCAATTTAGCACTACCACAGGTTGATATTTGTGGAAGTCAATTATGCGAACCGGACCAAACCTTGGAACACCTGAACGGAGACCTAAACGTCGTTTTGAATGTGCTCGGAGACGAAGAGAGTGTTCAGTTACCCAGCCAGGAAGGCCTCACGACAGCAGTGCCTGCATCTCCTCCAATATCGCTGGCATCGACAGAAGCAGCAGCTATAGGGACTCCATTGCCCACCATAATGAGCGAAATGGGACGACCCGTTCACGACCCGGGGCTAGAGATGTTTAGAGGTGCGGAAAATGGGAGCTTGTCTGGCAATTTGGCCAAGGAGATAGACGAGCTCATCGCATTGGGACTCAGAAACGTAGACAACCTGACCTGGTTTTCCAGGAACCGTGTGAGTAGCAATGATGTGCTCCTCTCTTTTAAACCGTCCACATTACTCCACAGGGATGCTGTGTCAGAAACAATATCCGCGTTAGCCGACGATGGAGATCAGATTGTTCGGATGGAGATTCAGCAATTTTACCAGGCATTCAGTCAAAGACAAGTTAGAGAATCGTCGAGTTGGGACGATATCGACTTCATTGTGGTTCCGGTGCATGAAGGCAACCGGTGTTTCCTGGTCAGCGCGGACGTGAAAAATCGATTGATACGAATTCATGATTTCAAGAGCCATGAGGAGATAGTCAGGCTCCTCACTGAGACCGACAACCAATGGCCCTTTGAGCACAAGGCAGTAAGTAAGGTCACCAAACAGGACGAACAAATTTGACAATGATCAGTTGCAAGAGGTTTCCGACAACGACAGTGGCATTGTAGTCTTGCGGGAAGTGGAATCACTAGTCGAGCCTGGCCTTTCTATCCGATCCGACATTGAAGCTCTGCGAAAGAGATATCTTCTCTGTCTTTTGACAAAGATTCTACCACGAGACCAACACTTCCTGACGCCCATGGATCCTCAGACTAGTGTCATGTCACAGTCATTTGTCAACACACAGTACCCCTATTCTCCCGACTTCCAACAATATCTAGCGTCTGCTATTGGTTGTGAGGCAGTCCTACAAGATTTGTCTAGCATGGTGACATCATTCCTGGAAGATCCACCGAACATGAGGCAGGAGCTTGGCAGTATGGTCAGGATGTATGATCGTGGAGACGCCAACTCTTTCCTCGCAACCTTCCAGAAAGATTTTTCCTCGTTGTTTGTCGCTCGTCGGTTTCACTCGCTCGTTGCCACGTTGCAAGCCGAAAAGAAGGAGCAACACAGGATCACTGATGCGAGGCGTAAAGTAGAGCTGCGACGGAAGCTCAGAGACGGTGCAAATTTGATGAGCAATTCTGGCATTAAGTCCATAGCTACAGGTAAGAAAGGCGAAAATGCTGCTACGGTGGCATACAATCGAATGATACAGGAATGCGGCCCCCCCAGTCAATCAATGCGAGAAGGTTCATCTGGTCAGCTGAAAGCAGATACGAAAAGACGATTGAAAGAGATCAAGTACCGAGGAGACATTCTACTTCGATACGACCATGCCACTGGACCAAATCATCCTCTTTGGACACTCTTCCCGATGAGAGCCATCCAATGTCCAGCCGCGCCCGAAATTCTTATAGATCCAATCATGTAAGTGTTACACCATGGCTATGATCACATCTGATAGATTACGGACATTTCAGGTACCGACGATTGAAAGAACCTGATATCAAGGTGTTGGTCGATTTATTCCGCTTAACAAAGCCGAAACTTTGGGATTATCTCCCAAGATTTCAATGTGAACTGATCAAATTGTTGAGCAACGACATTGCAGAAGTGACAGTTCTTCAGGAGATGCAGCAGATACTGTCCACATCTTTCGAGCCATCCTATCAATAGCATCGGAAAAGAGACAGGACCGGCGATGTCCAGTCTTGCCATGAAGCGGCCAGCATCTCTGACAAAGCTGAGTTTTGCCTACCTCAGGCGCTACCTACTGGCGCAGCGTATGCTGTCTTGATATGTCGACCTTCGTGAGAGCCTGGATTATTGCTCCTATATCTAGAAGTACGAAGCCAGAGATCAACTTTACCTTCATGGCATGTACATATCTGATAGCAACATAGAATGACAACGGAGTATGAAACTTGGGGACGAGTCCGACAACTATTCAAGCCCGCGCATGGAACCATCCTTGTGAGAAATTCGCAGACAGCTTCGAGAATGTAGTTACTAGATGTGGACATAACTTCTGCGCGAGATGTCAAAGCACGTGTCTAGACACGCAAGATCCAGATGGCTTTGAAGAGGGCTTCCGGGACTGTGTCAGAAGTACAGCCGTGTCCTCTCTATGTCGCCGACCTGTCAGAGCGGAAGAGAACGTTTCGCCTCGGTTGGAAACAATGTTCAATTAGGAGGTATTCATAGTGAGACTAGACGAGGTCCGTCATCCCCAACCTATCTCATTCTTACACCTCATTGGCCTTGTCCCAGCTCCCTCACCTTTGACTCTTGACGCCAGGCCGGGGCTGTTTCAAGCCGTGATGCCACACCCTTGCAAGATATTTCATACTTCTTATGGAGAACAGGTTCTCTTTCGTGACCGACACAAATGCTATTCGGAAAGCTATGGGGTCATTGAGAGAAAGATGCTTTGTATACCAGAACATGGAGATGCATCTCTCTATATTTTACACCAATCGCACCTTTGATTCACAAGGAGAGAAAGAAATCGACAGGATGAGAGATGGAAAATTTAGGACATGAGTGATCAGCTCTAGCTCTGGAGTGGAGAGCATTCGAAAGCTTCAGGAAATCGTCTTTGTGATGACGAAGTGCACAAGCGCATTTGTCCACTTGGAAGACGGCAGGACCATCACGTTCTGCGATCATCATTTTATCCTTTGCAAATCCACGTTCGAGACGCACCTGGGTGCCAAAGGTTGCAGTAGACTCCTCCATGTTGAGTAGTGGCCCTCTACCTTGCACTTCCATTGGAGGCTTTGGACAAACGATCCTGACTGATAATGTTGTTGAGATTACTTCGCCATCCAGGCGGAGGTCATTGAGGTTTGCGCAATGTATCGGCAGACTGGCCTCCATAGAACATAGATCGTCACGATCTTTCCGTCGGTGCCATGGGCAGCATCATTTTGCGGAGTGATAACACAACAGAGATCCGAGTGAGGTCCGTACCATTTTCGAGAGATGGACACTGACTCATCCGTGATACTTCCGAAAATTCTTCTAGCTGATCAAAGATCCACCTAAAGGGGAACTGGGTTTGTAACTGGAAATGGGGAGCCTTGTCGACATTTATTGTGCCAAGCCGGGGAGGGCAGTCAGGTTACAACATGAACCGATTTTATCGCCCCTGAATGCCTTCTAACTTTTGCTGCTCCAGTCGCTCAATACATTATTGTTAAACAGCCGACGGTATGGCTGGTTGTCTCGACACGATTTGTGGAGGCCCGAGTCCAGCCGGCGTCCGAGGCATTGCCTATCTTGTGGTTAATCCGCGTATCATTCCAATACGAAAACTCCCATTTGCGAACAGTAGTTTTCCAGAAAAATGTGCTGGTTTCATAAAAAGGCGTGGGTTTTCTCTTTAAGTATTACTTGACTTCAACACTTGTCAGTTTGAGCACAGAGAACAGCTACCTCAGATCATCTTATCCTACAGCTGGTATGGCATGGTTAACCACCCTTCTGAATATCACGAGGGGACTCGATACTAAACTCGACTACCTCTGTGTAATCATGGCATGCTTTGCAATAGCGATCATCACCAAGCTAGCGAGTTATTTTTCGACTTGTATGAGCTCGGCGGATAGCGTTCAGCTTGCTGGAGGAGCCTTTGGCTGGAGGCACGCAATGGGTTTCTTGAAGGATCATCAGAACTATATCAGAGATCTAAGGTACCCGCCAAAGTTCCAAGTAGGCTGTGACAAGGGCAATTCTAATTGTGATAGTGAGAGAGATGCACATGGCATTCACAGGCTGCAAGTTTTCACTGCTTCACTTGTTCTCGTGACAAGTCCAGTTTTTGCACAACCACTTCTCGTTGACTTTCGCCTCCCACTCTCTACGAGAGATATGATGCTACACCTCCTCGAGAAAGTGTGGAATGAGAAGGGCGAGTTACGCAGAAGCGGCATCACCGAAAAAAGGCTTCACCGAGACTTGAGCGCACTAATGGGACAAAAGTTCATGCTCCATGCGTCCTCAGTGATCAACGATGAGCTTGCGCGAGAGATTTTCATCCCGAAAACCTCTGGCAAGATAAGCTCAGACATGAAATCCATCGCATCAGGTTCAGAGAGGGATGTGGAAATCCGCCTCTTTTCCTTTTTGCGACGATTGGTGGGAAATATAGCCGTAAGAGCGATTATGGGTCTTGCTTTCACCACCAATAACCCAAATTTCGTTGACAATCTCTGGGAGATTGACGCCAATGTGAAGCTTTTGCTGTTAGGGCTAGAGAAACTTCCTTTACCGACCGCACGAGCGGTCAGGAAAGCAAGGGACGAGGTGGTCAGGGCAACATTGGAGCACCACAAGGCTCTGCTTGTAGGCGATCAAGGGGAACGCTCCACCTTTGGGGATTTATCTGACGTTAGTGACATCTGCAAGACGCTCCTCCAGGGGTGGGCAGAATTGGGCATCTCGACCGAATCATGTGCATCGACCACATCAGCAATTCTCTGGGCCGCCAACATCAATACCGCACCAATAGTGTATTGGATGATCAGACACCTCTTCCAACACAGGAATGTCTTGTGCCAAATACGCAGTGAGGTGGAACCTTATGTCCAGCACAGCTCAGATCAAGATCCTCAGATCCGCGTGGACATAGAAGCACTGACTTCTCGTTGTTCCCTCCTTAGGGCGGTCTTTCTGGAAACCCTTCGGATGGAAGCACACACTTTTTCGCTGAAAATGGTGACAGAAGATTGCACTGTCTTTCCCTATCAAGCTCGAGGAGGGGCGGAACAATTTCCGCTAAAAAAGGGAGAGATTGTATGTGTTGCGCATGGGGCGCATCAAATGGACCCGGAGTACTTTCCTGAATCCTGTGATTTCAACCCCCTTCGCTACGAGGAACGAACAGCGGGCGGTAAAACTGATCATCCTAGGACGTCGTATGGAGATATGTTCGTTTTCAGTGGCGGGAAAGCATTATGCAAAGGCCGCGCTTTTGCCCATGCTGAAGTTTTAGCAGTTGTTGCCGCATTCGTCATCTCCTGGGAAATCGCTCCAATGGATGAAACTCCACAATGGCGTAAGACCGACCGGGTAAGCACCAGTGGGGCTTATCTTCCAATGGAGGATCTCAAAGTTCGACTGCAAAGACGAATAGCTTGGGGTGAATGTCGACATTAAGTTGAATGGTGTCGTATCGCAATGATCGACTACGAGGTCTCAACGATGATGAGGGAGAGAGAGAAAGGAGTTTGAGTCACAATGACTTCAATTGTAGCTGAAATAGCTATGAAAGTGACTGAGTCTTGAGTTGCTTGTTCTATCAAAAAGAGGAGGAGGAGGAGTAGATGTAGTCATCCTTGTTGCACCTTCCTTGTTGGTCATAGTAGTCACGTGTGACAATCACGTGATATGACAAATGGGGACTCAACGCATTTCAAGATCTAGCCCCTTGGCGAGAACCGCAACGTCGATCACGCAGCACACTGCACGACATACAGCATGTACAAAGAGAAGGATTACGAGGAATTGGCTGAATCTCATGTCCGATGCACGGTACAGGCTTTCTGTTGAGAGCTTCTCTGACGGACTGCTACAGTACTGCCGTATTGCAGATGTGAGAGGTCCAAGTGAGGTAAGAGTTTAGACGGGTCTTCGCCGGGACCTCAACTGATGTGTGGTCGCGGTTGCATCGTCCTTCCCATCCAGGGAGCCGAACTTGGATCTCACGTCGAAAGTTATGGCGCCCCAGGACCATTTTCGGCTCATGGACCGGAGGGGGGGGCCAACAAGTCCCCAAACTGTGTCTAAATGGGCAACGGCCGAGACGTGCTAGAGAAGTCCAATTCGGGCACTTCCAAGGCTGCATCCTATATAGCATCCCTACCCCGGGACTGACACTTCTGAATGCTTTTTTAGACGTCGGTCCGTCCATAGCCTCAAATATCATCGTTCGAGTGGTACACAGCGAAAAGGACCGAATTCGTTTTCACTCAGAGACATTTGCGTTTGCACAATCCCAGTCGTTGCCCAAATTTGAGCCAAGACATGGCGACAGCGAACGACTCTCCCTCTGAGCCTGTGGTCAGTGACGAGAATCCCGCGACGGGACAAGCCCATGGCCTGCCAACGCCAGAATCGACCCCGGGGCCCGACGCAGCCCGGTTGAAGGAAGACGAGAAGAGGCAGCAGGCCAACCTTCAACCTACTGTGGAAGTTGACCCAGGAACTCCGAAGCCTTCCGGAGAAGAGGGGAACAATGGGGCCACCAAGGAGCAGATTGATGCCGTAGAGACCGTGATGAAATGCCCGGGTACCGATTACCGACAGATTCTTGGCCTTGGAGACGAAAAGCCAGATAGAGAAGAGGAGTTGAGAATGGTGATGGCGGCCTTCGAGAAGCTTGGATGCTTGACCCATGAAAAATATAACAAGGCAAATCAAGCTGCGGAGGCATTTCTCAGTAAGTGTGAACTCTTGAATCTCCGAGGACGTGGGTAACTGTGGACTGACATGGTACGCCTGCTTGGGATGTAGGAGTCAACGAGGCGGCAAAGCACCTCGGGATCAACGAAGCCGCCATCGCGGAGATGAAAGATTGGGATGGCGCAGGGGGCATTCTCACCGTGCCAGTAAATGACGCAAGCCACGAGGGCTCCGGTCGGGAGCCATCGAACGGACAAGACGCGGACATGGAAGACTCTACCCAGCCGACGATCCCACAAATGACCGATGATCACCGCAAAGTGTTTTCTGTCGCGGGGGGGCTGCTGCAAGTCGTCTGGGACAGTCCCGATGACGAGAGAGCGATCAACGGCCTACAAGAGGTGAACCGAAAGATAGTGGAGATCAACACAGCGAATGGCTTTCCTAACTCAACTCGATTCGTGGTCGATTTCGAAGTCTATCAAGGGGTGTCCAAGAAGGCGCTCCCTCTCTTAGCTCAATGGAAGCAAAATTCTGACGAAAAGGCTAAGGAGGAGCTCGAGGCGATGAACCAGTGGCTGGACAACTTCATTCAGGAGCGCGGTTACCCTACAGATTGGAAGATCGACATACCACAGCCGTCCACGCAGTCCATCCCACCGAGGCCTAGGCAGTCAACTGCCTCAACAGAAGCCCGCCCAACTACCCCAACAGAAGCTCGAGCTCGATCAGGGAAGTTGCCAAAATCCCTGGCTTTCAATGAAAGGGAAGGATACGTCCTCGAAGGAGGGGCCGAGAAGGAACTGTACGGTTACATCAGGGCGGGATATGGTCATCGAGTCTTGCTTCGACGAGACGGTCGCAACGGGTACGACATCTTCGAGTTCGTCCGGGCGAGCAAATTTGGGAAGAGCTTTGTTGAGAGGAACCAGCAGGTGTTGGGGGGAAGAGACATCGAAGCCGGGACCAAGGCTAAATTGCGGGGAATGAGCTGGAACAAAGTGGAGATTTTTGGCGTCGCTCCCGTTAGAACCGACTTCGATGATGAGGCGATGATGATGGCTTGGGTGGCATTTCCTATGACCGAACCGACCTGGTACTGGCGGTCGCATCTGGGGGA